ACCCTCCTCCTCTGGTGTTGCACACTGGCTGTGTCTCTGCAAGCATCAAACTGAGAGGAAGAATATTCGTATCAGGGGAAATAGGGGTAGGGTTAGGGGAGCAGAGAAGTGAAGAGTGGACTGCTTCAGCAAAACTGCTAACCTTGAATTATGCAATCGGAAAAACAGCTCTTGCCAAAATACAATTCTGACGGAGTTCAGAGTACTGTCAGCGTTTGCCAAATACCCCAGCCAAAAGGATGTCTCAAAGAGGGGGAGGAGGGATCCGTTGCCATATGCGCAGCATTCCCAGTATCCTGGAGGAACCGTGGAGTCCTTCAGGAGTGGAGGCATGTGCATGGTCTAAGGTGCACCCTGAGCACTGGTATCACGATCCAGCACGAGATGGGAGCAGCGAGGTCAGGGGGGAGCAGGCAAATATATCAGAATGTCTTTATTTTTCGGACCTTCCAAGGTTTTGCTTCACATTTGTATGGTAGTGGGAGGAGTTCTGGCAAACGTTACCAAGCTGTTCTACATATGTTTTGATTCTTCTTGTTTTATGTTTCTTCTATGAGAGAGACTGCAACCAAGTTCTTGTCATTTTTAGATCAATGTTTTGTTAAACTATGACAGCTATCCATGACAGAGAGCCAAGTAACTTCTGCAGCTGACCACAAAACTGAGTCTGACTTGCGGTGCTTAGTCATTTTTAATACATTTTTTTTCTACATGACACATTCCATTCATGTATATGTTTTTCATTGTTCTTTTAAATACAATTAGAACATTGCTAGGAACTGTGGTGCAAATCAATCTTCTCCAGCTGGTTACTTTCTTAGATTAATAAAGTTTTAGAAACTTCTCATCACATTGTGGCCATCGATGAAACCTCTCTGGTTATACTTTGAACAATTGGGCTGATGTGGGATTGATCGCTCTCTACAGTATTACTTTCTGTGGTTTGTCCATTACAGTTCTGAATGATCCAGATAGCAGAGCTCTCACTGCCCCTGTGGAGAGTCTCTCCTGCAATCCAAAAGAAATGACCACTGGGGGATAGTTCTTCCCCACCTCTGCCCAAGTTTTTCATAGAGGAAAAAGATGGTTATGAGGCCTGATCTGCAATTCAGAAATTTAGAAGAATCACTTCATCTTTAGCAGGACATCCCTATGTTTCTCCTCCTGCAAGAGCAGAATCATTCCGTACCATTTGTTTCTCAGCTTTATGCAATCTGATTGATTAGTAGGTCTAACAAGCAAGACTTCACAGCACTTCCCTGGGTCTGGACCAGCCTTGCCTGTTCTTCTCAGCAATATTCGTTCTAGGCTGCAACTGATGCCTATGAGCTCATGCGTTGCTCATAGGATGAATAGCATTTTATACCTTTGGGCTGTGGGACAACTCTGAAACGAAGGGCTGGTTATTTTCTTGTAGCTTTAAAAAACTGAAAGCATGTCCGATTTCATCAGCTGAGCTCTCTTCCCCATTTCTTTCTCTGCCCAGCAAGACAATTGCATGTAAAGCTTGATATAATGATAATATAATTCAGTGTGCAGGAGTGTGCCACTGCCTCCTGAACTGTAGTGCTGTATCACAACTGCTTCAATAATGCGTGTGGTACCACAGCCTGCTCCCCTGTACACAGCTAACCCAACACAGTGGAGTGGTGGCAGTTTTAAGAGTGCATAATTTGCTGTTGAATAAAGATAATCATGATAAATAGATCCTCCTTTTGTATAAGCTTGAAACAATTGTGGATCTCTTGTCTGAAGTTCTTGAATAGGTTCTGTGTGAGGAGGCTGGGTTAGCAATGTCAGCAGGTTGCCATTTTACTTGGGTCAGGGAAGAAGAGATGATTTTTTTTCCTTTGTTTCTCTGGAGCTTCCATAAATACTTTCTCCATCAACTGGAAGACTCTGTAGGAAAAGTAAAGACATTCTTCCATCAAGCAAAAAGCAGTAAGTCATCAACTGAATGTTTTCAAGAAAAAGAACACAGGAATGCTGGTTAGCCCCCTTTTGAATATTTTGTAATTGTAAAAGCACTTCTGTACGTCAGGATGGGGGAATATCAGCTGCCAGGTGTTTAAGAAGAAGAGCGTAGGACAGGAGGTCGGAACGCCGCTTACGTATGGTCAGGCTTTTGCATCCTGCCAGGGTGTTGCTGATCTCCTTCTGCTCTCCTAATGCTGTTGCAGAGGCTTAGGAAAGAGCAGGCCTTAGACTTATTCTTGCCTGAGTACTTTTTAAACATTTCTAAACATTAACAGAGAAAAGTAGAGCCGACTGCTTTGACATCCTCTGTTTCAAGTGCAACGTCGTGCAGAAGTTCTTTTTTAACTGCCACCTGATAGTTGCTGATTGAATTATGGTGTCGTTCTCTGTGTTCGAGTAGCAGGGAGTAAACTGTCACGGTGTTGGAAGGGTGGTCTCCACGCTGACCCACATTTTGGCTGTCCAGAGAGCCACCTCCAGGTGCTGGGGCTGAGCAGCGCAGCCCAGGAGCTCGGCACTCGCCTGGCAGTCCTTCGCAGCCCCTCTTCCATCATGCCTGCGCTCGCTCACTTCATTGAATGTGACTGGACCTCAAAATGCAAAACGTGGCCCAAGATGGAGAGCGGCAGAGCATCTGCAGGCTTGTTAAGTCAGACTCTGATAAATGAGCCGTGCCCGGTGTGTACCTTGCAGACAGCATGCCGGAGTATTCGCTGACCTTAAGACTCAATCAGATCATGTCGACAGAGTGTGGTTCAGAATGTAACTGCCTCTGCCTTCAACAGCTGCATTTACTGCATAAAGAAAAAGCTGTTAAGCCTGTGCCCTTTGTGCTCTCAGTGCTCTCAGCTCTGTTTCTCTAACACGTTTATACATGATTCAAGAAAAGTCTGCAACAGAATTCCTCCCTTCCCCCATAATATACCCAACAAGAGGAGATGTTCTTTTATATTTTAGGTTAGTCGTGGCATTTTTTAATGAATTCTGACATAACAATTTTTTAACTCTATCATTATGAAGTTGATGGTAAATAGATTTTTTTTGAGGAAAAAACGTTGACTTGCACTATATAGCTGAGATCCATTTGGAAGAAATACAAAGTCAACTTAAGCCTGACTTTCTGTCTGTTGACAGGCTGCTTTGGAAATGAGAGCTGAGTTAAAACCAGTAGATCAAAGAGTTTGGGAAAGCTCAATGCTGGAGTAGTTCAGGTGCTTACTCAAAGCTTCTCCGAGCTTTCTGGATCTGCTGTGCCCAGTAGAGTTACAGAAACCTTTTTGCTTGTGACAGGCGGACTCTGCTGCAGGAGCTCTTCCTGCAAAAACCCAGAGGATTAACTCATCTCGCGTGGTGTCGGTGGTGATGTGTCTGCTTACAGACAGGGCACGGGGAGAGCAAGGGGGATCCACACTGAAAATGAGTGTGAGGAGAAGGAAAGTTCACCTCACCTTCCCTAAACGGCACGAGTGTACGAAGTTGGCAGATTAGCCCCCTTTCTGACTCTCTCAAGCAAATGTTTGTGAAGTGGCTTACGTGAATTTCAACCCTTCTTTGAATTGCAGATGCAGGGACATCACATTGCGGGAAGCGTTTCTGTATTCATACTGTTCTCTTTTCTGTTTTCTTCTGTAATACAACCCGGTGACGTTATTAGGCTACATAGAATAGTTGTAAAGTCTCTGGTTGCCGTGTGAAATCTGAAAGTTTTTTTAGGTTGTTGATCTTTTGCAGTCATCAGGAGTGGAATAGAGCAACAAAACAGCAATCTTGCTTTCAGGAAGAAGCTCAAAAGAATTTTTTCGACTGGAGCCACTTTATTATCATGCCATATCGTGTCATTTTCTTAGCTTTGCGAAAGGCGCGGTGCCTAACATTTGAAATGTTAGTATTGCTTTCCTGAAAGATTTAAGCATATGATTGTCAGGAAGATAGAATGTTTATGAGTAAAAGTCGTTGGGAAAACAAAAACAGTTGGAATATGGGACACCTTTGTATTGGTAAAGTCACACAGTTCAGGAGGAAGCGAGGTGTTTTGAAGAGAACATTGGAATTAATGGCCCTGGCACGTTGTTCTGGCAATGTCTTTAGACACCGCTGCAGCGTGACAGATGAATTGGCAGCGTGCACTAGCCTGTTGCAATCCAGGGTTCACAGATAGTTCTGACTAAATGAGTGATGGACGGCATGTTAGTAGGGTTGGGCAAAACAGTCTGGACAGGAACACAAACTGCTGCCCCAAGTACCACACTTAATTCAGGCTGACCCTTTCCCAAGGCCTGAAGAAGTTGGAACTACGGGGGGGGCAGGTTTCCCTGTTGGCTACTTCCTAAAATACTGCCTTTTAAAAAAGAAAAAGGGCAAAGTTACCCATGTCTCTGCGCTTTGTTTGCAGGCTGGAAATAGAGTAAAACAATAAATACATTGCAAAAGAGCGTGTGTCATCGAAAGTTCCAGTCCAGTTTTGCAATCCCAGGGACACAGAGGGTTGAAGTGTTCTTCAGAAGTGCAGCCAATTTTATCATGCCTAACTAAACCAATCTTTTCAGCACTCTGAAGTTTGCTCATCGCTAGCTAATAAGTGTGTTTTAAAAAGGACTCGGTGGAGTCTGCAGCCGTATTCCTTCCAGAAAATATATCGTTATGTATTCTTAAATATCTGGTTCAGTAAACTGTTGTGAATTAATTGTTATCCAGCTTCCCTATCAACCGTCTAAATTGCCTATGACTTCGCAGTTAGAATAGAATTATTTTCCTGATCCAAATCCCATCGTCTTGCCCATATAGGACAAAACAACACTGGAGACCCTGACTCAGCAACTGGCAGTAAAACAGAGTGAAGACGGGAAGTTTAGCCATGCAATGATGGATTTCAACATGAGTGGAGATTCTGATGGTCAGTACAAATGGCTTATCCTTATTTCCAGTTTTGTGTGTACGTATCAACGGATTATAAAACAAGGCAGGAAAAAACGATTCATCATGTGGTGTTTTAAGTCTGGAGGTGATTTGTAGCCTGCTTGTCTGTATACTGCAGTTCTCAAGACTGGACCAAAAATGTATTTCTGTTGGTAAAAGGGAGTAATGGAGGCAAATAAATGTGGGATAAATGAGATCACAGAGTGAGTCCATGAGTTATAGACCTGATCATCCACAGATGATGCACGCTCTGCATCTGTAGGAACTTGGTTTCATGAAGCAAGCGTAATGTTCATTTCTTTCTCTGCTATTGCTTATGTTGTTGCACAGAGGTAAGCACAAAAACACAGACGTGTAAATGTTCACTTGCTAGTTAGAGAATTGCTTAAGAAGAAATGTCTGAAGTTGCCATGTATCACCCCCTTCCCATCACAAAAAAGATAGAAGATAGGTAAAATAATATGACCAGCATCCTGTAAGAAAGGAAGAAAGTAAAAAGAAAATCTACATTGAAAAGTGTTGGGTTTATGCTATTAAGTAGTAAAAGATGGTTTAGAAGAGCTGTTTAATGCTTTGTGTTAAAAAAACAATTGAAACTGTTCATCAAGTCTATGCTATGTGCTACTAAATCAACAGAATAACTAAAAACTAAATAATATACAATATATGGTATTCTCTACTGCTTCAAGTGAAAAGAAGAAACACCACTAACCTGTTGCGAACACTGACTCATGGAGTGTACAGCACCTGACATAGGTTACTGATGGCAGAGGAAGCTGCATAATGAAACACAAGCTGGGAATGGTTTTTCTCTCTTTTTAGGAAGTGCAGGAGTTTCAGAATCTAGAATTTATCGGGAATCCAGAGGGCGTGGTAGCAATGAGCCCCATATCAAGCGCCCGATGAATGCATTCATGGTGTGGGCTAAAGATGAACGGAGGAAGATCCTTCAAGCCTTCCCTGACATGCACAACTCCAATATCAGCAAGATACTAGGTAAGAATGATAGAGCACTGTTCTTTCAGTAGCAAAACTCGAAAACTTTTGACTGAATAGAGCTGAGCACCTGACACAACAGAATTATTGCCTCTAGAATGTCTATTTTGCTACTTAAGGACTGCACCAACAGTGCTATGAGCTTCTGCCATGCTGCCCAGCGGTATACATTAACCATAACCTGAAATGTTGTTGTGCCTCTGTAATTACTGAGATTGTGGTGGCGGGTCTGGTGCGAACACGTAGACTGAATAGACCAAACCAGTTCATTTCATTTGGCTGTTGAACAAGCACAAAATGACTGCTGTCATTTATTTCTCCACATATTTCATCTAACTAGATTCTATGGGGTAGCACTCCACAGTATTTGATTTGTGCCATAGCCCTTTCTGTTCAAATCAATGACCGTGGGGCAAAGATCCTAAAATACATCCTTTTATTTTATACACTGACAGTTTTAAAGGACTTTTATTATATTCCTGTTATATTAAATTTCCCTTTAGTACACAATCTCTGTCACAAGCTGCTTTTATTCTAAGTATTCTGAAAAGAATCCTGAAATCAAAAAAGAAACATCAGAATTAATTTCCATATCCTCTGCTCCTCACATCCCAAGCAGTGTTTGTCATGAACATCCTCTACTGAATTTCACGCCATTGTCTTCCAACTTTTCACTGCTTTCTCAAATTTCCAGGATCACATTCTGTCGTAAGTTATTCCTCTGTGACACGCTGAAGGATGCGGAAGGTCAATACTGAGGATCTGCAGAATAAGAAATATCTATGAGCAAAGTGGAGATGTTGCATTTTTACTGATAAAGACTCTGTTACAGGACCTAAGTGTCCCTCAGGCCAGTGGGTAAAAGCTTAATAACAGAAAGCATTTACCTGGGCTGCAGGTCTCACTGGTTTTGCAGACAACTCGAGAGATGTAGCGTAATTGTGATGGCAGCATTAACCAGCTGCAGGGCTGGTAAATGTGCTGAGCTCAGACTGGCCAGAGATTTGAAGTTTAGCTTGATTAGAGTGGTATTATGAAAAGTTAGCAGGGGGCAAGTGGAAATGAGATAAATTGGTCGGAGAGGCAGAATGTATTGACTTTGGATGGCAGATGTGACGATATTAACCCATGATTAAAAGGGTGGTACGAGATGTTTAGATTAGTTATGGGAACAGGATTAGAAGGCTAAATTGGTTATGTTGATGGTAAAATAACCTTATACTGGTTAAAAGGGATTATACTGGTCAGAGGTGTATGATGCGATTAGACTGGGGACAGGGCAGTAATAGTTTTGGTCTGTTTCTAAATTAAGAGTAGACCTGGTGAAACCTGTTTTTAAATAATCAGCTTCAGAAATCTACAGGATCATTCTGAATGGCCCTTTTCATATAGAAAGTACAAAGAGAGCTTGATGTTTTCCCTCTTAACTGATTGTTTTGGATAACAACCTCCGACAGCACGCTGCTAATTCATTCTGCTTAAAACAGGCGCTTGAGCTGGGCTGACATTTTACGCAGTCTCTGGGGATCCTGGTTGACATTTTAAAGGGCTTCTAAGCATTTTATAATACCCTAAAATCTGGTTTTAATAAGCCATTCTGCTGAAATTGTTAACATAAGGAATCACCTTTTACTATTTGGCGCTAGATCAGGGAGATACAGGGACATCTTTTTCTGATTAGATATACAGTAGTTGGAGTAAAATGTGCAAATTCATTACAGATCCTGTTGAGGTGACAGACAGTATAGCTGACTCTAAACTCTTTCTGTTTGGCTGCCAGATATGGGGAAAAGCAAGGTCTGAGGCAGTAAGAGATGATGTTTCTGTTTCTTTCCGGCATCACTTTTAATTTTTTTCATTCCACCTAGGCAATGGAGAGAGGTGTCCTGACGTCTTCTTTCTTGACAGAAACGTTACAAAGGTCTTCTCTCAATTGCAAAAGGCTCGTCTTTTGAAGTCAGCAGGGAGCTCTCTCTTAACTGGCATGGGGTGAGCAACTAGAAGCTTACAGTTCAGCCAGGTATTAGGGTCTCTTTATTAGAAAGCCACAGTTTTTCCTTACCATTTTTTTAGCAGCACTGCTACACATTGAGGTCAGAGAGCTCGTTGTCGCGAAGAGTAGCTTAGATGGAGTTGTCACCGATCAAGGGTCATTTTTATAGTAAAATGAGAGGAGGTGCCTTTCCCAGCATGAGAATTCTCTAGGGATTATGTTTGACACTGTGGTATTATGTTTTGAGCATAAAAATTAGATACATGGATTTGTCACTAAATTCATCTGTGCATACGTTTGTCATCCATCTGTTCACTGCAACTTGCGGATAATGATTTTTTTTTAGTAAATTGTTAAAAAAGTGCTAAAATGGGTCTGCTGGACCCTATCAATTTAATAATGCATTGTTTAGATATTTTTGTAAATAATTAATTTCACGGAGAAATCTACATAAAGAGATTAGGAAAAGTTGTAGTTAGATACTACCTTCAGAAATTCTCTCGTGGAAGTGTATGTTTGTGATACATACCTGTACATTATACAAGTGTTTGTGTATGTGTGTGTATTTTTTAAACATAAAATCAGCCTGATTCAGATACTCTGATTAAAATATCAGTCTAATGGACTAAAAGTTAGGAAATATTGCAAACAGCTGAAAATCCTTGTCAGAGAAACTTGGCTTAAAATCAGCGGTGAGCTCCTAACCCCACCTAGGTCGCCCGCGTGTCTGCCCGAGCACAAGTGCCAGGGCACATGCGGGAGCATCCCTTTGCTGCCCTGAACTCAGATAGCTGGCCCTCTACAGCCGTCTTCATAGTCATCATGCGGGCACAGCTCTGAGTATTCTAGCTCTCTTTGGAGCTGCAAAGTCTTAGAATTTTCTAAATACTTCAGCCACCAGATCAGGAAGAATTGTGCGAGATTCCTGCTTGTTATTATGTATGCATCCAGGGAGGGAAGCGGGTTCTTGTTTTCATAGTCAAGGAGACAAGCCTTGCATACTTGACCCACTCAAAGCTTTCTAACACATATGGTGAGCAGAAAGCTCACCCAAGAGTGTAAATCTTCCCTTAAAAAGAAAGGGTTTTCAAGATTCTTCAGTTGCACCTTGTTTGGGCTTGGCACTCTGCATAGGTACCCATTCCCGCCTCTGTGTGTTTATAGAGATCTAAAAGAATGGCAGAGAAAGCTATTACAAATATATTTTGTCGAAACACAAAGTATTTTTAACCGGGTTTAATATGTTGATTGTTGATACTCATTCATAGCTTGGCTTGCCTGTGGGTGCAGATTCAAGAATCAGAACTGTATATTTTTTAAGTTTTCAGAATTTCAGATGAAGACCAGTTAGAGAGCTGGTTGGATTTTGTGTGTTACTAAGACAGTAAGTGAAAATAATAAAAATGTCAAAACCAAGGGTTTATCATCAGAAAACATGCCCTTTTTCAAAATTTAGTCAGCATTGTTTGTTTAATTATTTATGATATTTCAAAACATACTAGTAAATTATATTTAGTAGATTTTGTAAAAACAGTGAAGTCATGGTAAGAGGAAGTATCATTGCAGAAGCAGCTATTAAAATTTGCTAGGAAGAGAGGTGAGACTGCCAGGATTTTTGTTGTATTGAGTTTGCAGATTAAGAAGGAAAAACACAACACATGACATTTTTGTATAAATATTGTATGTGTAACTGTATGTACAAATATTATGCATCAAAATTTCAGGTTTCATGGCCCTGATCCTACAAAGACTTACATGTTTGCCTAACTGCACCCATTATTTACAGATGTTTTCACATGAGGGGTAGGAGTTTGCCTGCCCAGATCTGGCTGTAGGATTGCAGCAGGTGAGCTAGCACAGTGAAAGAGGAATTGTGCTGGGGTAGAACATTTGCATGGCGATTTTGCAGCAACTGATTTTGATTTGTACTTTTCTGTCTGTCTGTCTCCAAATATAGCTGAGTTCATACACTGCAGGTCCTCTCACAGCATGTAAAGCAAATGTTGAGATTTGTTTAAAGTCTGTGAGGTTTTCAGCTTTAATATTTGTGAACAAAAACTTATGGACCAGCAGGAAATGGGGACTGGGCTGTTTTTCTAAGCCACTGGGACTGCAGCAGGTCTATGGATAGAGGACTCTAGATTTGGACTAACTTTTTTGACTTTCTTCATACGCTAAAACACCAGTGTGCCAGTGTCTACGAGGTAGGATTTGAGAGTAGACCTACACCTGGATGTCTTCCTGTGCAGTTCATATGTTTTCCCCTGAATTCTTCACATCGTTCAACACAGGCCCTGTCTATGATTCCATCTTACACAGCATTAGTAGGCGTTCAGTGTTCTGGCAAGCTCCACATGTTTATCACTCTGTCATTTAGCCCAAAATCTAGGAGGTGCTACTTGGGGAATCTTGGTGTCACTTTCTCTAGCCACCCTCTTTGCCAGAAATAGCTGGGAATAATTTCTCTGTAGGAGATGAAGCTGCAGACCAGGATTCTGGCCATAGAGGTTTGCTGCCCCGTGTAACAGAGACCTCTTCCACAGATCCCCGTGTGCAGCTGCGGCCTCTGCATGGCATGCAAAGTGCTGTGCGGGAGCTTTAGTCCCAATCCTAGAAACCATCTAGTCACGCTCATACGGCGCTGCACCTAAGCTAACAGCAATGTGATTAGAGTGTTTCCCATTCCAGAACTAGCTGGGGGATTTCTGCATGTTACGTGTTGTATACATCACAAAAAGGGATGGTTTTGACTCCAAAGTAATGTTTGCTAAGACAGGGATGTCTGTTACTCCCCTTCAGAACAAAGACGTCATTACTTACGCATCAGTTATCTCTAGGTGTAGCAGCCTATTAGCCCTTCGCCCCGGCAGCCCCAGCTGCAGCCTGACATAAAGATTCAACCACCACTGGGGGAAATGGTGTCAGTAATCAGAAGGGGCCTTTCCAGAGGGAACCAAACTGTTTTCTTTCCTGGGAAGGGATAACTGCGCTCTCTGTGTTGCGAGTCTTGGGGGCACAGTGAGCTAACACCAGCCTGAGTAATAGCATGAGCTAAGTACAGTATGAGTAACCATAAAAAATAAAGAACAAGAGAAAAGCAAATATGACATATGACATTTTGAACCCGTTAAATTGAGAAACTATTCAAACTTTTTTTCCAATGGGAAAATTGACTGTTTTCCAATAAAGTTTTCCTTCTAGGCCACCTGTTTCACAGCTTGGGCCATTCCTGTCACTTGAAATATATCTTACCCTGAAGGACTTCTGTAGTTCATGGAAAAATAAAGTAGGATAACTGATTCAAGAAATTTTACTTTCTGCTCCCACATTAAGTCCTTTAAGAAATACTAGTTTATGAATTTCAGGAGGTATTGGAAAGCGATTGTAAAGTCTTCATTATTTCCCTAGCTCAAATATCCGCACTAACATAGGCAGAGTGTCAGAAACAAGGCTGCCAGCGAACAAGCCACAGTGCGGCTCCGTGGAGAGGTGTGCCAGTATCCCAGCTCTCTTCCCATCATGACACATACTAAATTCTTTAAGTTGGAGCTGGCAGTGTCCACTAGGACTTGGTCTTGGAGTTAAAACCCTACTGAGACACAGGGGATGGTTTATAGCTTTTAGAGGCATTGCTTCAGGGTCTTTGCAGGCTCCTGTACCCAACAGCATAGCATTTACAATCAGTTCCCATTCTGCTTCTCAGAAACCTGGCAGCTAGAAAGATATGTTATTTGACATGAAAGACTTCGCTGTAGAGAGGCGTGTAGCCAGAGTTTGTGCCTTGATGCAGCTGTGGTGGAGCACAGCGAGTAGGTCGCAGCATGCGAGAGTGCTGTCTCCTCCAGGTTGGGAGGCAGGAACAAGCCCCTGGCCAAAGGAAAGCAAGAGGGAGTTAGCACGGCACATTGTGTGTCTAAGGGGTCTTTGGCTATTCCAATGATTCTGTGATTAAAATACACTGCCTTGTTTTCTAAAATAAAGTGTCAGGGACTGCATATTATCAGGATGATGGTTTTACTTCCCATCTAAAAGGCATTATAATGTAGAGAAGCTGCAGTAAAATACTGAGTCAAAACTTCCAGCATCATCTGTCTCTGCCTCTTGGCCATACCCAAGAGGTTTACCAGTCGAATACAAACAAGACCCGACCCCTGTGTAGAAGCTCTGACAGATTCCCAGCCCAAAGCGATATGACCGTAGGTATCTTGTTTTGGGTGACCTACTTGTTTCTCTGCCTTTCAGTGTTTGTGGACGAGTAGAATCTCATTTCTCATTCTTTTTTTTTTTTTTTTTTTTTTGACAGGATCTCGCTGGAAAGCTATGACAAACCTAGAGAAGCAGCCATACTATGAGGAGCAGGCCCGACTCAGCAAACAGCACCTGGAGAAATACCCAGACTACAAGTACAAGCCAAGGCCGAAGCGTACCTGCCTTGTAGATGGCAAAAAATTACGCATTGGCGAGTACAAGGCTATCATGCGCAACAGACGCCAGGAGATGAGGCAGTATTTTAATGTTGGGTATGGGACCTTTAAAAATTACCGCTCATTTCAGCAAAAGAAAATTTCAGGGAGAATTCTTAATTCAGTGTGGTAAATGTTATATTTTATTGGCAAGAACATGATATATCGCTAACAGAATATGAAGCTTATACTTTAAAACAGTGTGTTCCAGGAGGAAGTTAGGCAGTTAGGGATTTTTTTGTTGGCTCTGCTATATCCTCATCTTACAGCTTCGGCCGACTGTCTCATTTCCACTCTGATCACACAAAAGAAAAAAAAAAAATTTCCAATGAAATGTAAGTCTTCTAATAAGGCCTTCTAAGTATTACTTTATTGTGGGGCCTCAGAGGGCATATCTGAATGAATCTATGATAGCGCCTCTTGATCCCAAAGCCAAAAATACAAGTTTGCATTCAATATAATCTGTGGCGAGTGGTCTGCAAAAGGACTACTGAACATACTGAACTTGAGTTGGAATATGGGCTTGGCTCAGTTAATTCATATCAGGCATGAGGTTGTCTGCGTTGTTCATCGTGACGGCGTTTGTCATACTAGGGAGTGTCTTCCAATTCAGTAAGCTAAATGTGTTGGGTTGAGCATACATTTCAAGAAGACTGGTTCTGATAAAGAGCTAATAGATCAGCTTGATATGATTAGAGAAAATGTGCCTAGAAAACTAGCATGTATTTTCCTTCTGCAAAGAATCCTTGGTTTTGGTTAGAGCAAATCAAAAGAATCGGAAGTAGTCAAATATTCTGTAATATTTCTACAGAAAATTAAAAGCTACGGAGTGGTCTTACAAAAAGCAAAACCAGCAACAAGAATGACCCTCAGAAATAATGGAATTTGTATTCCGTTTCATCTGAGCTTGCAATCATTCTAATATTAACTGAGTTACACATCTCTCTAGTTAACAGCTAGAAGTAGCAATAAAGGAGGGAATATCTGTCCAGCAACTGTGAAGTGTCATCAGACTGTGTTTTGAACAGCTCCAGTGTGCATTGTTATAATAAGCCGCTCAGCAGAGAAATTTGAGCTGCTTAACCCTGTGGCGCTGGCAGGTCCGGTGATCCCAATGGTAAGCACTGAAACAAACACAGGGAAGTCAGCCAACATTTGGCATCAAGAGATTAAAAAAAGAGGACGGGGCCTTCTGGAAAAAGAATAGGTGGCAACAGAGCCCCCAAACCACTGCTTATCTGGTTAACATGCATGCTTCATCATGGGAAAAAAATTAACCTTGTAACATTCTGCATATTATTTATCTTTCCAAGCAAGGCTGACATTGAAATCAAGACGTTTCTGGAGATAATTGGCACTGGGGCATTAGAGCACAGAACCTGGGGTGAAATCTTTGTAGAAGCTACCGACAAAGCGGGGTCGGTGATGCTGGCAGTCACAGCACTGCAGCTGTATTCCTGGTTTTAGTTCCCCATCTGCTGCATCGCCCAGTACAGGTCATTTAGGGCGAAACTTCTAAATGCCGGTCCAGCTCCTGCCTGGGCACCAAAAGAAGTGGGTTTACAAGAGCTGTGGCTATGCCAGCTGCTGGGACATGCTGAAAGCCCGTCCGAAGGCAGTGGGAAGGACTGGGCATTTTTTGCAGCTCTTGGACTTCGTGCTTCCCTGTCTCGCTGTCCTCATCTTCAGTGGCAGCGCGGCAAGCTCACCTTGCCGGACTGCCAAGAGCCCTAACACGTTAGTGCCTGAGGACTGCTTTGAGAACCTCTGGAGTGGACATCCTATAGAAGTGGAAAAATACTATTCTTAAATTATTTAATATTTGAAAAGCACTCTGAAAAGCACCATTTAAGTGCAAAGTGTTCCTATTGTTAAATATTAAAAGCAATTTAAGTGTGCTGAATCTTGTTACAGAAATGCTGACTCCAGAAAACAAAAGCCTTCCTATTGAATAAAGAATAAAATGCAAATTAGATCCGCTCCCTACTTGAAGAGCTGTATCTTCAGCTGAGACAACTTCTTGTTTCGGAAACGCGGAAATAGGGGCTGAGGGGAGGGAGGCCTCGCTCCAACGGCAGGCAGGAAGCATCTGAAAACGCAGCGAGTGATTCCAAACAAATGTAAAGCTGTTTGGCAGTGGAGAGTCTTTCAGGATCACTGTACTGTGCAAGGCTTACTGTACAGCCAGGGCACCGGCAGGCAGGGGAACAGGGGAGGGTTTCATTCTTAATTAAGAATGTTCATCTCAAGAGACTCTGCCCTGTCTCCTGTGGCAAGGCTTTTCAGTGCAGATGGACACACCGCTGATGACATTACAATGTGCAGCATGTACGGGAGAGTATTACTGCAATGGAATTACTTCATGCAGCAAGGAAACAAAAGGAGCATGAATTTTAAACCTCTCGGCTCGTTGGGACCCCGAAGCTTCTCAGGGAAACAAACACTGGTATAACACAGCTAGTGTTCTTGATGCAAAGGGAATTTCTATGGCCTGCTTTCATTACTGCAGACAGGTTTCCAAGGCTTAGACGCCGCATAAAGGCATCCTGTAGAGGATTTTCTCAAATGCTCATGTTGCTTGCTTGCTTTTTATTTATTTTTAAATAATGCATGCTTGTGTTTTAAGTTTGCCTTTTCCCAGTTTTATCCACCTTCCTTCAAATGTTCTGCTTTTCGCAAATGCCGCTCGCTGTGGAAACTGTCACCTTCCAGTGGGAGGCCCTTAGTGATCATCCTATAAACCCCCGTTGGCCTCAGAAAGCCCACTGTTCCTCTCCCTGATCATGGCCAGGTCGTGGAGTAACCATTGCCTCTTTGGACAGACCTGCCTTGCTTTCTCCTCACCCACCAGTACTTTCCTACAGCCCCTCCCCGTTCCTGTGCGAACTACCTTGCCAGCGCCACGTCTCTCCCATCGGCAACGTGTTACTGTTACGCCTAGTCCTGACAGCACCTTGGATTGTTTAAAAGGATAATTTTCAAAATACACGTTTTCTAAGTTAGACCGTGATTGAAAGGGTGTTTATTTTGGGCTGGCAGCTCAGGGGACGCGCAGTTTACCCAGTAAAGCAGTTTGCACCACGAGCAGGCAAGCTGAAGCTGTGTGGTTCAGGTCCAGCTAGAGGTGTTTGCAGAGATGGGGTTTTCCTATCAGTGAAGTTGGTTTGGTCTTGATGTTTGTTTCAAGAGCATCAGTTGGTGGTTGGGAATATTAAGATACATATATATACATAGAGATATATGTATTGATATATATTGAGAGAGATATGTATAAGGGTTGTCTTGCACAGGCCATGCAGGCGCTTCCTCTGCATGCCCTAGAGCATATGCTGTGGGCTGGCAAAGTGCTGCTGTACTTGCCCTCCCTTTGCTCCTTCCAGTATTCAAACACCCTTTTACTTTCTCTCCACGGCAGGCAACAAGCACAGATTCCCATTGCCACCACGGGCGTAGTTTACCCAGGAGCCATTGCCACGTGTCCAGCAGCCCGGAGCCCGGGATGCCCGTCATCCAGAGCACTTACGGCATCAAAGGCGAGGAGCCTCATATCAAGGAAGAGATGCAGACCGATGACGTCAATGGAGAAATCTACGATGAATACGATGAGGAAGAGGATGACCCCGATGTGGACTATGGCAGTGACAGTGAAAATCACATTGCGGGGCAAGCCAACTGATCAGGGTCCAAATGTCTCGTGACCTACAGGACTTCAAGGAGGAAAGAAAAATAAATAAAGCCCCATCTGGTTTATCCTTGCCAGTGGCCAAGCACATTAACTTTCTCATACACTGACTGTTACTTTAACTGTTAGTCTTAACTAGTTGGGACATCAGCTGACTAATAGACATCAGCCTGCATCAGAAGAAAAAAGGCTCAGAAGAAAGGAAACAAAGACAACGACGACAACAACAACAGAACGATATAAGCTATGGGTAAAATAATGCCAGTAATTCAGCTGCTATACCCAAGCACTGAAGTCTTACCCGTCGACCTTTTATTATTATTATTTTTTTTTTCAAATAAACTTTATGGCTGTTTGTTCTACAATGTTCTAGAAATTCTCACTCAGGTACACAGTGCCAACAAGTGGCTTGTGAATGTGTTTTGTTGTTTTGTGCTACAGTTTAAAGAGAAATAATTTTTTTTTTTGGTAATGCACCTGACAGGAAAGAAAAAAGATAAAATTCCTTTTACCCCCTCTGTTTCCTCCTCCTCCTCCTCCTCCTCCCCGGCAAATCTGGGTCCGAAGTGTGTGTGTGTGCGTGCGTGCCTGTGCGCGTGGCTGGCAAGGAAGGAAGTGGGGAGTCTGTTTCTGTTAACCCCAACAAGCAATTATTTCCTTTCAAGACAGGACTTCTCTTCATCAGTTGCACACCATACTGAGTCTTTGAGCAAGTGCCAAATTTGTACTAAAGCGCTGAACTAGTCCAATTTGCTTCTTTTTTTGGTTGGTCTCTTCTTGCTTTGTTTTTCTTTTGCTTTTCTTTCGCTTCCTGCTCTGTCTTGAGTTAGGACAGTGTTGTATCTTAGACAATCCCTCGAAGAACCTGATATACCAGCAGCTGATGAGATTAGACATATATTTTTGCTTTTGCTTTTTAAAGGAAACTGTAGGTGCCGTTCTCAGGTGAAAAGAGAGAGAGACACATAAGAAATTTAGAGAAAAAAATATTTTATGGTCTTGGATTTTCATGTGTGAGTGTTTATGGTACTAATAAGAATAATATTTGACTATTGTGAGCAAAAAGCATGTTCCAGAATGAAGTCCCACACCCTCCGAATGACTTGGTCTGTAAGGAGCCTTTGCTTTTCATTTACACTTCAAGTGGCAGCAGATCCAACATGAAAAAGGCTTGTCAAAATGTGATTTGTTCAGCACAGGACAGGGCAGCTGGAAATGTTACTTCCTCGCTGAGTGTAATTAGGTTACCGTGATGTCCAGTTCTAATGAACTTGTACCTTCGGGGTTGCTGAGTACTGTTCTCTGATTCACAAGGCGATTGGTTTTAAACTGACGTTTTTTCCTCTTTGCACTTGCAGAAATCCATTTTTATCAGTGGGATGTTTGTGTGGGAAGGAAGACTAATAGCTATGAAGAGATTTCTGTATTCAAAGTGGGCATGTAAGAACCCAAACCTTTTGCGGTGCCGAGTTTCCCTAGCTGCTGCCTCTCACAAATGAAAAATTGTTCTCCTGGGCTAAAATATTTTCAGCGTTGCTCTAAAGCCCTTAGATGTGTTGCTTGGGCAGTTTTGCTTTCCCTGGGCAACGGCAACCAGGTGAGGAAGGTGGATTTACACAAGCGTAAACCTGACCAGAAGTTAGCCTCCTGTATTTCCAAGAAGGTAACTGAATCTTACGCTTTTTTTCAGAAAAAGAATGTAAATACAAGTGAATCAAAGAGTCTCTTTTCGTCTCCTCACTCCAATCTTCCTGTAGAAGGAGAGGCCCCAGGTTTGTGTAGCAGGACAAAAGCATTAGACCTAAACCAGCCAGCCGACCAAAAAGGCTCGTTTCTAACAGCAGCTATCCAGGAGCTCCTCTTTGGCCTGAGAAGGAAAGTCTTAGGGTTGTACCAAGAAAAAAGCCTTCCTCTGAATCAGTTCTCTAACGGAGGATGCCCCCTCTATATTCATGTTGCTCCTTGGTGAAGTCCTACTCCTAGAGAGAGAGTCATTGCTGTCATTACCGCTTTTAGCTTGTAAAAATAGCCCCGTGCATCTTGGTGCTGGCGAGATCCCAGCCCAAGTGCTCACCACAACTGTGGTCTTCAGTACTTTTGCAAATGGTCCCTTAATCAGGTGAATGTAGAGCTTGGTGCAGTCAGCTGTTTCAATCCAGGTGCAGGATGAAAGGGGCAGGTAGGAGGAGAGACTGGGCAGGAGGACATGGAGGAGGCGGGGGTGTCTGTCTTTGCCTCTTGAAATCCCACTTGAAGTGTAACTTGACCTCTGCAGACCTCGTGCAAAGCAGATGAGCAAATGCCATTGAAGACTTAGGACAGTACTCTGACGAGCGGTCTGGACGTGTGATGGTTTTACCCTGCAATATCTCTTTTATTTTTCTCCTGTTTTCCCTTTTTTGATTTCCACTTCTGCCTCAAACAATTCTTTTCTGTTTTTTCTCTCTCTCAGAAGATTTGCTCTGGAGTTACGCTTGGAGTAGCTGATCACATCCTCCATGTCAGAGAGGGTTCTTTTTGTTTGTGTTTTATGACCGTGTTGGGTTTTTTTTTCAGTTGAACTGCCTCTTCTTGCTAGTGTTGTAATGGTAATTATAATAATAATAATAATAATGGTCAGCTGTTCCCAGATTAGTAAATTATGTATAATTTATTTTACCCCTCCCCTTTTTAACTTTATTTTATTCTGTTCTAATTTGGCAGTGCAGCAAATGAAGCTGTTAGGCTATTTAAAATGGATACCCCTCCCCACCTTGCCTTTTTATATATATATAAATATATATATATACATATGAAAACAAATCGCTTCTTCTTCTGCTCACACCATTCCTCTTATTTTAATTTTGGCCCCAGCCATGTCAACTTCTGATGTTTATTATGATGGAGTGAATTAATGGGAGTGTTGTTTTCAATCTTAATTAACTTCTGCTTACAATGTGAAAACAAATGTTTGCTCCTTTTTTTTTTTAAACTTCAAATTTGTTCCCTGTCTTTGTGAACAAATTGCTTCTGACTCTTGTGGGTTCACCTCACATTTGCTGGATGCTTGATTTCCACCCCATTCTAGAGACTCTCTGGTTTAATTGTGTCGCTTTGGGCTACCAGAATACTTTGTTTTAGCTCCAGGTAGGTGCTGCCGCGGCAGGCGTGATTGGAGCAAGTGGTAGGTGCGTGGGCTGGGAAGCCGGCCTCGGGGCAGTCGGTGGGAGAAGGGCCCTCTGACTTTGACGGGACCGAGTTTCGGCTCCCAACTCCCAAGGACGGGCTGCGCAGCGGGAGATGCCCCCGGGGGCAGCCCCGTCTCCGCGGAGCGGCTGGGCTCGGGCAGACGCCGGTTTTTGTTTCCACACCTGTTTCCCTCTGAGAGACTGCACCGAAGCCTGGGGTTCGGCCGGGCTTTTCGAATGGGGAGCTGTAGCAGGCTGTCCACATCCTGCGTTTGGATGTTGAAACTGATGCAGCAATGCTAAAAAAGGCAAAAAACATATAAAAAAATAAAGGCTCTGGGGTCCCCAGCGGGTGAAATACTTGCCACCTGTGCTAATGTTTTGTTGGGTCCAAAGATGAGCGCCCATCTATCCTTTGGCAGTAGAAGACCAGATGTGAAATCAAGGCCCTGATTGTCCCTCTTTAATTTCTTAGAAAAAAAGCAAAACAAAGCAGAACATACTTTGAGAAAAAGATCTCCTTGTCTTGTTTCTTTTTTTTTTTTCCTGGGTTCTGTGCCCTGGAGCATGTAGAAAAACCAGGTTAGAAGAGATTAGGATCGTATTAACCTAAAAGCGCATCAAGGCCCTCGTGCTGAGGCGGGCTTCGTTCCCCTCTTCCCAGGAACCTGGCGAGCGAGGATGGTCATGGGGAGCTGCCGGGGAAAGGGGGGTACAGGCCATCACCTCCGAAATCGGGGGAGCCGCTTCCGCCATGCACCTTGCGAGCTTACAAAAGAACACCACCAGCAGTGGGGATAAGGGGAAAAGAAAGAAGGAAAAAAAACTGAGGCACTTGCTTCTAAGCTCAATGAAATAACACAGAGTATATCCTTTTTCAATTTATTCATGCCTTATATTAGTAAAATAGGATTTTTAAGTGCATTTAACATCTTTATTTAACCGTTCCGCTATATTAATCAGGCCCCCAGAAAAGAACACTAGCTATTATTATAGCATTTAATTAGTTTTGTAACCAAATCCTCTGATTACAAATGCATATGGAAGAAATTCTTTCTTCGAAGACATTATTTCGAAGATTTGGTTACTGCAGTAGACTTTCTCTTTAATTAAATCATTTTTTAGAAAGTAAATTGTCTTTAACCTTTTTACAGCATGTTTTCAGAGCTTTTTCTTTTTAATCCAAAGAGATGAGCTGTTATTGTCCCCGAAGAAGCCTCTGACATCACGTTCATAACATCAAAAATAATTATACTCCGTGGAAATGTAGACCTTACTTAGCAAGAATTCATCTTCTAGAATGAATGGCAACTCTATGATATCTCATACATTTAAGGGCATGATGTGTCGGGTAGGAAGTATTTTTGTCTGCCCGCTTCTCAATAGAATCATACCTTCAGTTTTGCAAAGAACAGCGTGTAATTCACTAGCTGTGGATTCAAGCGTATCCTCAATTCACAGGGCATGGGCTGGCTGTTTAGCTTGGTTTATATTTACATTTTTTCAACTTTATCTTAACTTGTCAGTTTCCCAGATTGAAGAACACGTCAAGTTCGGTTTTTTTCTACTGACTGATTTCTCTACTCCCCAGTGTTTTTGTCACTGGTTTGCTGAAACAGTATTTATATAGCTCCATTGGCTCTAAAGCTCTTACTCCTTCTAACGTTTTGGATTTTACAAGTGAAATGAAAATAGAAAAGAAATAGAGACAATCAAATGCCTGGAGCTTAAAACAAAGTATGTGCAACCTACCATCTCACTTGAAATTTAATAAAGAAATAATTATGTAAATATAACATAGAGTTATAGATTTATATTTTGTTCATAACACATAGTGTAATATAAGTTGTATATTTTCATGTTTTGGTTTTATGTTATCATTCATGCCACAATAAATAAAAAAAACAGGAGTTGATGTACTCTTTAAAAAAAATACAATGTGGGTTGCCACCATCCTCGGTTTTTGTTTTTGGTTTTTGGTTTTTTGTTTCTTTTGCATTCCCCTTTTTCAGTATTACTGCCCTGCAAGGCACCAATAAAACAGCAAATGTGTTCTTTACCTACACTGTGGTCTGTTTCCCACTTATTACAGCAAAGGGTGTGCTAGTTAGTTGTGTTTTCAGGAGACCAAAACACCTGGGCTCAAGGAGCAAAAAATGAGATTTAGATTCAGTTTACCAGTCTGCTCCAAAATTCAAGATTTTTATCAAGTCGTGGGAAAAAAATTCGCCCCATCTTTAAAATACCAGTATTAAACAGGAAGAAAAAGTTGGTTCCTGAACAACGTACAAAAGCACAATTTCACAGTCAGGGCACCTCAGAAATGGAGATGGTTGAATTCAGAGGTTTGGCCCACGCCCACCTTCCCGGGTTACGTTCACTTGCTACAGGCTGATCTGTTGGGAGACCAAAGTGAATTCAGGGAAATACCCAATTATAAATGCCGATGACACAAAGCGATGAAAAAAATAGCTCTGCTCATAGTTAGTCAAAATGTCCCAACATGCTGCCTAAACAGTTCATGAAGTTTTGACAGCAGCATATGGCACCAAGTGGGATGAAATGAATTTGTACCTGGTTTTGACAGTAAGTTATTCTGATGGGTGCTTACTCTCAAGTGCCTACGGCTTGACAGATGCCACT